TGAAAATTGACTGTTTCAGGAGCTAGGAGAATTATGAGGGGATAGATTCATTTATATAGAATCTACAGAAATTATTTATACGTCTTTCTTAACCCACTAGGTATATACCAGTTCGGAATATAGTTTATATGCCTCTTTTGATACTATTATTTGAAATATTTATTTGCTTTTTGGATAGATTGCTTAGGAAAAATAATCATTTGACTTTATTAGGTCAAAATTTCTCGTATTTGTATTTAGAAATAATTTATGTATAATTGTCTTATGAAAACGTGGCGATACCAACGCGAGATGCTTAAAATGCGAAGTAGTTAGTGGGTTAAATGATTTCCTATTCTTTTCAATTGTGATGGGCACATTTTTGTGAATTCATAATACTTTCATTTTCAGAAAACGTATAAGGTACTTGTGAAGAATTGTCATATTGGGGTATTTGTAAATAATTCACCGTTACTTTCTGCTGCGGTAAACAAATCTTGAATGAATAAGCGACGTAAAGTGTTCGTCGAGCTTACCCCTGCTAGAATAATAATACTCCGCAGTGTCTTTCTTTTTGATGTGCACATTGTCAAGATAGGTCTGAAGAATACCTGATTTCCAAATTAACAAATGAACATTCACACAGGTTCGTTAGGTCAGTACAAGTGATGAATAACCCAACTTATTCCCTAAATAAATAATTTCATCAACGAATACAAGATAATTAATCTCATTGCCTTTTAATCGTCAAAGAAACTACTGAAATTATAATTCCAAAATAAAATAACTTCCGTTCGAATAAAACTGCAGCCATCATCGTTGCAAACCATATCCACATCGGTCACTTCGATGTCGGTTTCCGTTCCATTTATTCTATCTCCGAACATTAAACTCCAGGATAAACGCCAAAGCTCCGTCTGCTCTGTTTTCCTCTTTCATTCACCACGCCGTAGTCCGTCCTCCGCGTCTACTGCCTTTCTGTCTCAGGATCGAGATCCTTGGGCGAATAATCCCGTGGAAAGATCCGCGACGCGCGGGTATCGATCCCACCGTGGATGAAGGGTTTAGTCACGGAATAATTAATGTGAGAGAGCAGGTATCTCCTTGCGTACACTCGTTGGTGGGGGCGTGCATGGGTAATCGCGGCACCGTGGACCCATAATGTCGCCGTGTGACGAGGAGACACCGTACCGATCATTGTTCCTACGATCCGTCGAATGACAGTGGTACGAATTTAAGCGAGGCCCGTTTTACAAGTCCAATGAGCGAGAGATATAATTCGTTCGATGTTCTCGCGGTCAATAGGATGGTTCCAATCTCTCTGATTCGCCGTCGATCCCCATTTTTGGAGCATGAATCGCTAATGATAGTAAACATCGCGGCGCGAGCTCTTTTGCTGTCGAGAATAATACGTGGACGGCGGATCTGTATGCAGATTCGGATTTTTATGGAGTAACTTGGTGGACAGAAATTACATCAGGGATTTGTTTCCTTTATTCAAAGTTTTATTGGGTTCGCACTAACGTAAAATTTATTGCAATCTATTTGGAAGTTTTTACTGCGTTACATTACATTACATTCTAGTAATCTGAATGCGTGGAAGACGCGTGGAGATAAAAAACCATGTTGGAATTAGGTTATTAGGAATTGGACTGCTAATACGTAATGTTGTAGATTGTTCGTAACTCTTTCTTAAGTATCTTTTAGTTCCGAAATAATGATTGTCCATAATTAATGTGACTAATGGAAGTGCAAGTTTCCTATCAGATTTGAATTTTTTTGGTTGAACCACGTTGTCGTACAAATTTAAAATTTGTACACCAAATTAAGTAATTTATCCCATAAAGATCCATTATTTAGAATTGAAGAACATCTCTATTGATTATGAAAAAGATCATTTCTTTCTAATGAATTACAGTTACACGTTTATTTCTTTCCCAACTTCGTTGTATAACTTTAATTTTATGCAACAAATCTGATGCGTTCGGATCCAACCAGAATACAGCTACATTCGTTGATCCAGCAGCGATCGCACAATAAAGATCGACAATGATGAGACCAATTTTCCAGCGGCTGTACACGAACGTTATTTCAAGCACAATAAAATCGATCGTCCATTACATTGTTACCTTTATACATGAGAAACAAAACGGAAACAATAGCGCAATGAGAATCCAACGGAACAAGGATAAGGAACCACGCCGAGAAAATTTAGAACGGGCCAGGGTAACGCGAGTATAATAAATGTGACACCAATCGTCAACAAAAGCCTGGCGTCGCTCCAAGCCGTATTAACACGCATAGAAATTACCTGAGGTAATTTAAACGCCTGACCGTCGTTAATCGCATCGTCACCCCGAGAACCAGCAGACCCACCCAAGGATATTTCGAAAACTTACGAGTGGACTTCCCCCGTATGGAAACCTGGGAACCGTTAAAACTACGTCTGGAAGCCTCCAGACCTTACCGATTATGAAAAAAAATATCGAGGGGTAACTGCCTAAAACATGGCTTCTGATAGATCCTTTCGAGATCTCTGTCGAATTATTTTCCTAGCAACAATTTGAACAACGATTGTGGTTAGTTTTTTCATGACTTTTTATAATTTCGAGTTAAAAGTTTTATATATATTTGTCATAGTGTTATACTACGAAAAATGAGTGACCCTTCTGGAACCCAAAAGTGGACTTCCCGTCCTCTACAGATTAATCAAATTCATTTATTTTTTCATTTTTATATATTTTACATATTGTAATATCAAACACACGTATTAAATAATTTATCATAAAATATTTATGTCATTATATTATATGCGCCGGTGATTATATTATTATGAAAGTGGTGTAAGTCGAAAAACCAAAAAAATTGAGTTCTCTTATTCTGAATGTTATATTGATTTATATTTTGATATTATGAACAAATTTTCGAGACGAAACATACATGACTCACACCCATCATGGACACATATATCAAGTGAAATTTGAAACGGAATGGTGTATAATATTAATGATTTTTTCTACTTTTCATTTCACGGAGTTAACCCATTAAAACCTATTTTCTAATGATTATTAAACTACTGTCAACTGCTATTATAAAAAAAAATTATTCGTGAGCTGATACACTTTCGAACCGATCAGCATCAATGGGTTAATCTCTCCTCGAAATACAGTAACAATCTAACAATTCTCTATATCAGAATGAAGTAACAAACACAACTGAATCCACAACTGTATTACTTAAACGGACGGTCGAAACACGTGAACTCGCGTATTAACATGTGAAAGAACCAGCACATGTTGCGCAGCATTCAAACAAGTCGCATTCACAAATTCGCCCAAGTGCCTATCATCCTTCCATAAAATACATTTCCAAACACACTGTGTCACTCGACATATCCCAATACTCGAAGCCCCAATATCCCACACTGTCTATACTAAAACCTCGATCAATCACACTCACTCCCAAATTAAAATCGCAAATAAGCATCGAAAAATCCAAAAACTTCAGAAAAAACCAAACCAAATCACCTACACAATCTCCACAATTCTCCTTTCCAATTACACGCGCAAACCTCCAACAACACAAAACGAACAACGGACGAAACCCATTCCAGGATGACCATTCCACTTATCACCGAAAACTCCCATCCCCCACCACCGTCGTCCAAGGAATGATCGAGGTGGGCAGAGGATGATCGCCGCGTGAAAAGAATGACAGAGAGAACGAGGAGAGCTCACGGAGGGAGACGACAGGATGCTATGTACGCGGCGGTACACTCGCAGGCGAGCCCGTGTATACGTGCACGCGGCTGAAAGAGTCCCCGTCGGATCCCAGCGTGTAGAGACAGAGAAAGCAATCGTTCAAGAGAGAGGGATCCCGCGAGTACTGGTGGGAGCAAACGAGACAAGGCGAGCGTTACCCCCACCACGGGGGTGAAAACTACCCCGAGAGCGCGTGGGGTGTCCGGCCTCGGCGCCGAGCCGAACCGAGCGCGTCCGAAGTGAGCGCAGTGCCCGACACACCAGGTCCCGCACGGCACGACTAGGCGCACCGTCCGGCACAGTCCACTCAGAGATACGACCCATGCTGGACCATCGTCGCTCTGGTCCACGCCGGCATCAGGCATCCCAGCATCCGCGCGTCACCCGTACGACACTGGAGACAACACCACCATCGCCGATAAAAAGGGTCGTACGAGGACCAGGACACGCAACAAGACACCGAAGTCCCGTGTGCCATCGGGGTCGTCGTTTCACCGAGGTGACAATCGGAAGAAACAACTGGGATCAAAACGTAGTCGCGAAGAGACTGACGGCGAGGATGCTTGACGGGAGGTGGACGATAACAGTAGGATCGTAACCGCGCGACGATACCGATCAGTGAGATCGTCTGTGGGGACGATAGACGTGTGTCCCGCGTGTGATCCGTCGCGTACGGATTGCGGCACTCGAGGGGACACCTTGTTTGTTTTCCTTTTTTTTTTTTTTTTGTTTCCTTTGTTTTGTTCGTTCTATCCTGTCTATTCGGTACGGTGACAACTGTGACGAAGTGACGAAGAGTGAACGATCGGATGGTTCGCGTGACTACTCGGACACGCGCGACGGCCAGTGTGATTTCCGGGATAGAGGGTGTTTCCGGAGAAAGATCCTCGAGAAAGGATCGTACTGATGGTGATCAGGAGAGGATCGGTTCGTCGTGGGAGACTGTGAATCGTTAGAGGATCCGTGGGACGGCCGAGAACACCTGTGCGACACGCGGACCGTCCTGAGGGTTTCGGGAGGGATCGCGGATCGTATGTGCGCCGCGACGTGTGACGTTTCACCTGGTTTCGCGAACGATACAACCGTGGACAATGAGGACGAACATTAGTTGACGAATACGTGCGTCCCGGCCGACTGTCAGTACCGTCGTCGTCGCGGCCAGGTGCACGAAGACGATCGTCGATCGATCGTAGGAGGTTGATTACAAGATCGTACAACTAGGGGGGTTGTGAAAAAAAAAAAAACACATCGTCGGATCGAAGGAATCGGCGGCGAACGAGTGTGACGGAAGAGGTGTTCGTCAAGGTGGAAACAGGTGAAACCGTCGGATGGACTTGTTGGAGAGGAACGACGAGAGGCGGAGGTGAGGGGGAGGAGGGAAGAACCGTGACGATCATCGTACTCGCGATTGTCAGGGGATTTTCGCGTTCGTACGGACGCCTCTCCCCCCACCGCCCCTTTTTCTCTTCTCGCCTCCCCGGTGGAAAATATTAAAGATTGTGTGAGTTCGAGGGGAAAATCGCGAGGACCCGCCACGAGGACCGCTCCGATCATCAACACCACCACCACATCCCCCCTTCCGTCCTGGACGCTCGTGGGAAACGTTATTTATATATCGAGACGTGGGACGCGCCACGAAGATCGAGAACGTCACCATGAGGATCAAAATGCCCGCGGTCAGGATCGCGCAAGGTGAGTGGAGAGACGGAATACCGTGAAAAAATGTATGTACGTTGTTTTGACGGACGAGCGTTCGGGCTCCGTCGGTTGACCGGAACGGGCACCATTATTTTTGGATCGCTTGGGTACGCTTGAACTTGTAGAAGTCGACGGAATGTTTCTTTGACACGTTTCCATCGTGGTTTGTTTGCTACCTTTGAGGGATTTAGAATGATCGCCAGAAATTTGCTTTTGTCATTCAGTGTTTTATGCTTTTATCGGTAAATATTGTCGACTTTCTCTGTGTTGAGTTTTATAAGTTCTACGGTACTCAATTACCTCTGTATACTTAGTACATTTTATTCTTTCCGTAATATGACATGCAAGTTTGACGAGTTTATGGGTCAATTGCTGTTTCGCTTGTTAGTTTATTGCTGCTGGTTTAACGTGGAGTTTTTTTTTTTATACATAATTGTAACGTAAACTTCTTGGTACGTATCGTTGGATACGGTTTTGAAAAATATGGTGTGCATGGAACGGGTAACGAAGTTTCCAAACGAATTTTCTGTTAATCGAGGGGAAAAGTGCGGAACGTTAAAGTTCAATTCTCCTCGCGGCATGGAAAATTGAATTCTATGAGTGTTGTTTTTATATTATTCGAAAACGACAGTTACCTCTGTACTTTCAGTCTTAAAATCCATAATACAAAGTTCATCGAATCCAAGAAGATCGAGTACTACGTTCCTCGTAGATCGTATCGATAAAAGCTCGAAAAGCCTCGCAAGCCTCGAATACGAACGATCCCCATAACTTCCTATCCACGTCAACTAGTACGAAATATAATCCGTGTATTCGATCGAGTCGCGATAAATCGTTCGCGATCGAGTCACGCGAATCCCAACACCGTTCCACTTCGATCCCAATCACGCCAGTAGCAATCATCCTGTTCCGATTTCCCTTCAGCTACAAAACCCTGAGCACAAAAAATCACGCACCCTTCTCTCAAAAAAAATACAAACTTGCCAGCAAACTTTCATCTCCGTGGAACACGAGACCGCGAAAAAAGGTCAACGTCCACGATTATTCGCTGGTTCCCGCAACCTGTCGGCCGCCACTTTTCCTAGGGCGAGAAAACTAAGTCGTGTCGGTCGCGTGGCCCCGTCTCAGGGCAGGGAAATAAAAGACGCGTGGACGTCTCAGGAAAGACGCGAAGAAGAGGGAAAACGGGGGCTGGAAAGAAAGAGAAAGGGAAAGAAGGAATGAATGAATCTGGAAGGATGAACGAGGGGGGTTTGGGGGGGTGGGAAGGGAGGGAAAAAGCGGGATAGCAGGGCAACGTCTTGGGAACTCCATCGTCTGAATTTTTAATTAGTCCCCGACACCCCCACCCTTGGTTCGTAGTACGAGGGGGTGGTAGAAAAAGGAAGAAGGAGGCCTTCAAGGTGGAGGTGGAGAACGAGAGAAGAGACCCGGCGTAAGGGAGAGAGCACCGTGGGGGGGTGGGCGAGAAGGAGGGGCGGCATTGTCATGCGCGCGTTTTTCAGAGACTTTTCCACCCCCTGACGCTACACACCATCCCCCGCGTCGCCTGGCCTCCGACACCCCCTCGCCGCCACGGAGAGCAGCGGCGGCGGCGGCTCCGTTTTCTTAATTACAACTGCGATATTCTTTAGTTCGCGCGATGACGCCGCCGCGAAAAGATACCGGAATATTTCTCCACCGATTAACCCCCGCCGTTACGTTTCACGGGGGTATCACCGCGTCCTTTAGACGAGCCTGCGATCGATCGACGATCGGTCAGGGTGGCGATCGTCGTGACGGAGGGGTGGGTCCTGGATGACCATCGTGAAGTTGAACGAAGACTTCGTGTATCTATTATGGGGAATTTGATAATATCATTGGATTTATTTAACACCGTGAAACGACGTTCTCGATGATGAAACCGTCGGTTAGTCATCAGTGTCGAAGAGTTTTCTGGGTTCCGTCGACGTGGTCCGAGGAGCTGGAACCGACGTACGCATGTCCGGTATGAAATTCGGATCGTGTGACTCGTCGAACCATTCGTCGGAGGTGTTTCGTGTGACGAGACACACTTTGAGAGGGATGGTGGGAGTTCGAAGTGGACTGGTTTCTGTGACGAATGTTTAGGAAAAGAATGTCACGGGTCGCGTTTCGAGATTGACGATGAAATGTCAGAGGTGAGTGTGCAGATGACTTTTTGGTTGGATCTTTTGACAGGCGTTTATCGCGATGACAGCCTGGAATTCTTGCGTCTTTTTTATTTTAGCTGGTCGTTGAAAGTGTTGTTTCAATTTTGAGATTGATGATGCTTGATGGGGATACGAAGGAAATTCGCGAGTCTAGTTTCCTAACGGACAAGCCGCAGTCCGGGCCAACGCGATCTTGACGCGGTGTGAAGCTTTAAATTTCTGTTTGCAAATGCGGATTATCCTCCTGGCAGGGACGTACGTATACGTCCTCCTGTTTACATCGCGATTATCTGCCTCCTCGCTCGTCCTACATACATATAATGAAGTAAATAGATCACGCGTTTGCCTGGCCGTCGAACGGCAAATACCTCACTCGCGCGATTACCTTTTGATTTGCGGCCGTGATTTCGATAAAAGCGCGTTTTCATGGGCACAGTGACAACCTGAGACTTCACCGTCGAAAGAAACAATTTAAAATACAATTGTCTAGTTACAGTGACTCACAAATTCGTTCACATACTCTTGGAACAACGATCAAGTGTATGTATCGTCACTAGCTTTAGTTCTATTATAATTTTTCTCAAGTTTGAATGTAAAATTCGGACTTTGGTAAGTAATCTGGTTAAACAAATGTTCCGTGAACAAATTCGTGAGACGAAGAAGTCTTCATCGAGTGTTAAAATATGGTTTATTTACGTCTTAAGGGCAGAAATATTTTAATTTTTGGCACTTTAACGTTTTTTTTCTTTTCTGTTTGCGAATTGGCAGATCAATGAAAATTCTTAGGGGTTCTTTCATTAAAGTTTTATTTCCATGACGTGATATTTATCCTCGTTTTGCCTCGATTCGACGAATTTTCCTTTCCAACGACCGAATTCAATATTGGTCACGATACATATAACGACCTTCTATCTGGATGAGCAAATTCCCAATTAAGATATGAATCGTGCCCCGTGTGTACTCGGCCAGAGTGTTCGCGGTGACGCTTCTGTCCAAGGAATGTCGAAACAGCTGCTGTTTGAATACCGAAACGCGTTGAATTCAACGAAATATTAACAACAGACCGAGGAGAGAATAAAGTGTCGAACGACTCGCTTCCATTACATGCGGATTATTGTTCCTTTGTGGCGATATCGGCGTGTATGTGCGGAAAGAAAAAATAAAGGAAGCAGAAGATCGACGAAGTAGTCCGCCATGTTAGTCGCTTACTCATTTGTACACGATGATGTTGAATAATAGGTTTCAATGAGGCTGATTTAATGTATGAGCTGACATATTGCTGGGTTTGATTATTACTTCGTTATTAAACATTTTATTTTTTAAATAGTAAAATATCTTCACGTGCTGCTAGTCCATGAAGAGTAAGCTCATAATAATTGCGTTTATACTGAATAGTGAACGATTCTGATGATTTTAATGAAGTACGGTAATACTACATCTTAAAATAATTAATATAAGACTGTTTCCGTCACTAAACGGGATTAATTAATGATTAGTACACATAGTAGAAGCCCTGATCATTTCCTCTATCTTTAAAACTATTGAACTTAACTTTAAAGCTATTGAATTAATTTGAGAATCAACTACAGAATCTCTCACACTTGATAAATGGATACGTCAATCTAATTTAGATCCATTCTTAAAAGAACAAAATATAAACATTACAATGCGATGTTTTCAGGAATAATTTATCAATGAATGTTTTGTTGGATAATTCCACTGGCATCAGAGAGGGAAAATTTTCTTTGAAGCGTTTAGAAATCAATTGAGCCGTTCAATTACCAAAGTAATTAATTCCATCAAAATTATCAAGGAAATTTATTTTCGATATACAAAGTTAAGAACCAATCGAATGGTTTGCCAGTATTTTGGTACTAAAATTTAAACCAACTCCAGAAATGGTGTCAGTCACTTTAACGTGTGAACGACTCAATTCCAATGCAAGATATCCAATATAATATAAAGATAATCACCAAGATCCAAGATAATCACCAATCCCAAAAGTCAAAGCAAAGATCGGCAAATTCATTACCTAGATAAAAGTTAGATTTCGTACAAAGATAGTACTTAGCCGTTTTTAATCAATTACACGTAGAAATTTCAAGTTCTTAAATAAAATAGTACTTCTTTAATGACTGGACCACATGGCGAACAATTATTTATTCTCGTTACCTGTTTAAATGCCAAGATGACACTCTTAGTTACTGCTGCTTTTCACTACATATTATTTTAACTCTGAACCCAATTTTCTTTTAACAAAATTTTTCTAGAAATTTGGTAATTCCACAATACACAAAATCGAATATTGTCACCAAAGATGGCCTAAATAAATAACAGAACTTCGTACAAAGATAGTACATCACCGGCTTTAATAAATTAAACGTAGAAAGTCCAGTTCTTTAAATAAAATACTACTTCTTTAATGACTGGACCACATGGCGAACAATTATTTATTCTCGTTACCTGTTTAAATGCCAAGATGACACTCTTAGTTACTGCTGCTTTTCACTACATATTATTTTAACTCTGAACCCAATTTTCTTTTAACAAAATTTTTCTAGTAATTTTGTAATTCCACGATACACAAAATCATCGACATACCTGGCGGCGTAAAAACCGTCGCGTCGTCTCTCGCCTCCGTGAAAGCAATTTTATCAGTCGGCTCGAAAGCGTGTGACTGGTTAATTGACGCAATTACGCCCGCATAGCAGGACACCTCGCTGCTGTCGCGGCGTCCTGCAAAGCCTACCCCGGCGGCAGCCGCCACGGTATCGGGCCGAGGCACTTTCGAGGCTGTTATTTAGCAAACAGAGTGAGTTTTAC